AGCTTATTTGCTGTACGTTCTATTGGGAACAAGTTATAATCAGAAGTACAGAATGCAAGGTTCCAGGCGGAGGAATTGGATATGCAAAGTTGGGGCCGCAACAGAAATAAACGCACAAGGCCCGGCACCGCGCAAACGTGGATGTGCACAATTTTGAAGATGCGCACAAAGAGGAGTTGAGCCTGCATAGGTAGATCGAATAGCATCAATAAATATGCGCACGGTGCGCAAAGTTGGGGCCGCAACAGAAATAAACACACAAGGCCCGGCACCGCGCAAACGTGGATGTGCACAATTTTGAAGATGCGCGCAAAGAGGAGTTGAGCCTGCCTAGGTAGATCGAATAGCATCAATAAATATGCGCACGGTGCGCAAAACTGGAAATGCACAAAGTCGGAGGCGCGCACAAAGCGAAACTCGGAAAGGCACAAGGCCCAGCACAGATGCGCTCAGTCGAGAGTGGAAGTGAAGCGGGAACGTGTTATTATGCGGAATGGTAGATGCGCAAAGCTGAAAGCGGGAAGTTTGACGTGGAGGAGAGGGAGACGCAAAGAGTAGCTTTAACGTGCGAAATCGGATGCAGAAGAAGAACCAGTGCGTGAATTCTAAAGCGGACAGGTTGTTGCTGTTAGAAAAAAAACCTGCCAAAAGGTGACCACCCCAAAGTTATAGGGGTATAAAGCCGGGGCCACAACACAACTCCACACATAAGGCCCGGCGCAAACTGCTCTGCATGCAAACTGCAAGGCGGTGGCTGGTAACAGCTGTAATCGCTATAGAGTTTATGTGCTTTACGTTCTATTGCGAACACGTTATAATTAGAAGTACAAAATGCAAAAGTCGGGGCGGAGGAAATGGAGATGCAAAATCGGGGCCGCAACAGAAACAAACGCACAAGGTCCAGCACCGCGCAAACCTCGACGTGCACAACTTTGAAGGTGCGCACAAAGAGGAGTCGAGCCTGCTTAGGTAGATCGGATAGCATAAATAAATCTGCGCACGATGCGCAAAACTGGAGATGCACAAAGTTGGAGGCGCGCACAAAGCGAACACCGGAAAGGCACAAGGCCCAGCACAGTTGCACGCGGTCGGCAGTGCAACTTAAGCGTGAACACGTTATTATGCGGAATGATAGATGCGCAAAGCCGAACGCGGAAAGTTCGACCCGGAGGAAAGGGAGATGCAAAGAGTAGCTTTAACATGCGAAGTCGGATGCAGAAGAAGATCAAACGCGTGAAGCTTGAAGCGGACAGGTTGTTACTGTAAGGATGAGATATGCAGAGGTGAAAACGCAAAGTATAGCGTATGAAGTCGGGGCCACAACAATCCGCAGAGGCAGCGAAGACACGAAGTAGGTACGATATAGTGTGAAGGTATAGGCGGCATCAGCAGTATCGATGCGCTCGTGTGGGAGTCGAACCCACCAACCATGACGGCTGTATACCGATCGAGCGTGTCGTCAAAATTGGCACGGCATACCAATTTTGACGCCTGTAACCCTGGTATTCGGATGGGAGCGCATGTGACGCTACATCCGGATATCGGGGTTACAGGAATAAACGTGAAAAAAGAACACCATTACATTTTAAACGAGTCATGCACGCAAGCTGCAACGCGGCAACCAGATGTACAACCCGAAACGCAGAGGTTTTAAGACTACACAAAATGGTCCAATGCAGCGCGCCAAGTCGCCCAATCGGCAGGACACACCTGTCTCTTTAAAATGCAGGACACACCCGTCTTTAAAATACAGGTCAACGCAGGAGCATGCAACGATCCACACGTACAGTCGAACGAACACGTTAAATCGAAATGTACAAAGTAAGCCGCAATCCTCCGAACGGACAGAAGCCGCAATCCTCCGAACGAACGTAATGAGTCTCAAACAGCGAAGAGTACACCGCGAATATCAAACAATGCAGCTAAGCTAAGCGCGGCAACTACAATGCTTCGCGCCGGCAGCAAATCCGGAGACAGTAAGTAAAACAGGAAACAGAAAAAACAGGCATAAAAGATCAACAGCCAAATCAGAGGGCGTCAACCGTGCGTCCGCACACATGTAAAAAACAAACAGAAGGTAGAAACATAATATCCAACACGCATGCGGCCTGCACAACCCGCAAATATCAAAGTCGATCCCGCAGTGTAGGCGCTATACGCGCTGCAGCTATTGTTGGAAGGCGGTGACAAAAGTGGTGCGCCCGATGGTGTGAGTAGTTGCCGTGCCGACGATGCTGAATGGCCGTGACGCACAAAACGCGGACCGGAGTTCAACGTCATCATACGGCAGGTCCGTGAAGAAAGCGTCGAATCCAGGGAGCTGGCGCAACACATCCGCGCTGTCGGTGCATACCGGGTACTGCCGCTGATTGACCGTCAATATAAGGGGCAGAACTTTGCGGTCGTTGACGACGCAGCTAACGCTGGGGTTGGGAGACAAGCTAGCGCGAGCATGTGCGCCGTCCTGCGGCAGGGTCGTGATACTCCCAGGCCACTCACGCTGCTCCCATGCCAACAACATGCTGCTAGTTTCGGATGCTGCCGTTTGCTGCGCATGCTGCTGCGTAGCGCTGATGAACGCGCGCACATGAGCAGGGAAACTGCGTATGTCCTGACCGGGTCGGACTGCCGCAGCAGTGAGGGTGCCGTTAATCCACACGGTTGGAGTATACTGCGAATTAGCGCCGCTTATTTTGGCACCAAACAGGTAGAGCGGGATGCTACTGCTGCCGGCGTCGCTGACAAGATGGCAATAAACCGGCGGGGTGTCCGGATCGTACGCAAGATGAACCTCCCCAACCCGGACATCGTTTACGTCAGTACAAGCCACGTATGCGCTGATCTTTTGGAACGGCCCGCTGACGAAGGGTTCCCCAAACGGCAAAACAAGGAGCGCGCTGCCGTCACTTGGATAGCTGGCCTCATTTAACGGCGGCTTCACATACGGGTTCAAAGTAGGAAACCACAGGCGGGCCGTAAGGGTACTCCACATGCGCCTAGCTTGAGTATACTTAAGTTCGCTCATACTGGTGGTCTTAAAAGTGGTTACCAAAACGCCCGCAAAGCGACTGACGACGTGAGGCGGCAAAATTGCCGACTGAACGTGCGTAAAGTCTACTACGGATCCGTAGCACTTATTCGCCTGGAGACTAGCTAGGATGGCACCGTCAGCCTGAACGAGGACAATACCGTTTGCTGCCGGGCCACCCACGATGGTCGCAGTGTTGCACCTCAGCCCGCTCCACAGACGGCCGACGCCGACTTGCACGGGCCCGGCCGTAAAGGTAAGCTGAAAGCTTACCGAGATACTGTCGGGATCGTACGTCGAAGTAGTGATATTAAAGGTACGAGCTTGGATTGAAGATACAAGACAAAAAACGTCTAAGGCATATACGCGCTAAGAAGATCGTCGAAGTAGGATAATTTTATTCACAGACGGACGGACGGAGAGAGATGTAGGTCTTGTATTTGTGCTAGCAGAGCAAGGTCCAAGTACTAGCCCGACTGCTTACGTAAAGAAGACTATACTGGCGGGTCGAGCAGTACAAGATGCGTATAGAGAGAGCAGAACGAAAGTACCGGATCCAAACGGCACAAGCAGCAAATGAATCTAAGACGTCCAACACATTTAAACGCAGAGCAGGCCACGTCGTTCACACATGAAGTCCACAACAACCAAACGCGACAGTTGAATCGCACAGCCGGTAGTCGGCCAAGCCAATGCAGCAAATGCGTACAAGGTGAGATCATATTACAGACACTTCAAGACAGAGGCACAACCGCGCACGCAAACGCACAACGAAGCACGGCTCACAAGGAGCCCGGCTACAACGTCTAAGTCTTACCTCGAAGCGCGAGCACTGCACGAAGCGCAGAGACGCAATCACAACCGCAAAACGAAGCACATCTAGCGTTGAGCTCGATTGCAATGTCTAAGCCTTACCTCGAAGCGGGGGCACTGCACGAAGCAGGGCTAGTCGGAGTCGCGGTTGATGCCGAGCTCGCGGAGGCTTCAGGCGTACTTCCCGGCGCGGTTGTTTCCTGGTGCGGCTGTTTCGCCGGCGGCAGAGAAGGCGGATCTATAGCGGCAAGGCGCCTGCGGTATAACGAACGCAATGAATAGCGAGTACCGACTACTTAATAGTAAACAGCGGGCGCAGCGATGAGCAACTCACTTGGGTCCCATGTTGGCGAGAGGAACGTGAAAGTTTCAGTAGGCAGAAGTCGTAATCGATGGAGGGCACAATGATCTACATTCCAGGCAGGCCTGGGTTTTATAATTTTTACAGCGCACGTACGCCTGCGCAACCTTGAGGTGACGCAACTTTGTTCTCACGACCCGATCGGATTTCATTCGCCTTGGGCGAACCTTGGCGCATGCTTGCAATAGGACAACTACGACTCCCGCGAACATGCGCGGTTGAACGTGCAAAGTCGAATACGGAACAAAGCTATGCTCATAAAGCTTAAAATGCAAAAGAAGGACCGCAAAGCCGAAGCGCGACAGTTGCAGTCGGTTGGGTCGAATCGCGAGCACGGCTTAGTACGGAGGTTATTAATTTGTATATCGAACGCGCAGAGTCGAAGAGCAGCCGAATACACAAAGCCCAGCATGCGAAGCTCAACTTGCGAAGCTATATACGCAAGGAATTGTATCGCGCAAAGCACAGGAGTTGCGTAAAGAGCAGCGCGGTACAAATACAGAACTGCAAAGCCCAGAACACAAAGTACAGCAAGGTCCAACGCGGAACAAACTAAATACCGCAAAGCCTAGCCTCCCAAGCTGGCAGTTGATGCAGTCAATGGACCAGCATCGCGCTGGGCCGTAATTATCGACTGCAAACGGCAGACGGCTGCAAACGGTCGCTGGATTGCAGGGCGGTCGGCTACGAGCATGCTCTATTGCGAAAAGTCTAGCGCAAAAAGCCCGGAAACGCAAAGGCCAATGCGGAACGCGAAAAGCCGGACACACAACAAAGGTGGACGGTCCAGATGGCTGCCGAAGAGCAAGGCTGCGGACGAAGAGCAAGGCATGATTAGCACCCAAAGTTCAGCCTGAGACGCGCATAAAATAAAGTCCGACACGCGCAAGTGAAGGTGCACACTTGGAATCGGAACAAAACTAAGTGCATAAAGGGCAACCTGCAAAGCGCGCTTGCTGGACGGCTGGCCGCCGTGCCGCAGCATACTGTATTGCTGATGCGCGGACGCATGATCCTGAGAGGCAGATATGAAACACGAATAACGCAAAAAAAAAAAAGAAAAAAAACGTGTGGTCGCATCAACAGAAAAAAAAGAGGGAAAAAGATCGCAGCGAGGGTCGATTCGAACCGAAGACTCGGTGGACAGACGGAGGGACAGACGGAGAGACAGACGGACGGCCGGCACAGCCTAAGGCCTCCGCTCCCAAAGTCGCTACGGCTACTAGAGCGCGCTGTTCGCGCGAGTGGGCCGTAGCTCCGTCGCTGCGTGCGTTGCACGGCGCTTAAGGGCGTACGGCACAGCACAGCGCGTACGGCATAGCGCATACGACGCGTACGGCGTGTATGTCATAGCGTGTACATGTACACTGTGCAGTGTCATGCAGCCGCTGCTGTGCCGTCACCTGCGGGTCGGCACGTGCAGCTGCGTGCTGTGCAGTGTTACGCACCGGCGGAAGAAAATTAAGCTTGCGGAGCCTAGCACGCAAATTTAGCCGTACGCGCTATGCTATGCTACGCTATGCCGTGTGCAGTGTCATGCAGCCGCTGCTGTGCCGTCACCTGCGGGTCGGCACGTGCAGCTGCGTGCTGTGCAGTGTTACGCACCGGCGGAAGAAAATTAAGCTTGCGGAGCCTAGCATGCAAATTTAGCCGTACGCGCTATGCTATGCTACGCTATACCGTACACGCTATGCTATGCCGTACGCGCTGCCGTACGCGCTATGCTATGCCGTACGCGCTATGCTATGCTACACTATGCCGTACGCGCTATGCTATGCCGTACGCGCTATGCTATGCTACACTATGCCGTACGCGCTATGCTATGCCGTACGCGCTATGCTATGCCGTACGCGCTATGCTATGCCACGCTATGCCGTACGCGCTATGCTATGCCGTACGCGCTATGCTATGCTACGTTATGCCGTACGCGCTATGCTATGCTACGCTATGCCGTACGCGCTATGCTATGCCGTACGCGCTATGCTATGCTACGCTATACCGTACGCGCTATGCTATGCCGTACACGCTATGCTATGCTATGCTACGCCGTACACGCTATGCTATGCTACGCTATGCCGTACGCGCTATGCTATGCCGTACGCGCTATGCTATGCCGGACGCGCTATGCTATGCTACGCTATGCCGTACACGCTATGCTATGCCGTACGCGCTATGATATGCTACGCTATGCCGTACGCGCTATGCTGTGCTACGCTATGCCGTACGCGCTATGCTATGCCGTACGCGCTATGCTATGCCGGACGCGCTATGCTATGCTACGCTATGCCGTACGCGCTATGCTATGCCGGACGCGCTATGCTATGCTACGCTATGCCGTACGCGCTATGCTATGCCGTA